GACGCCTAGTCGGCTAGGGTTCCAAGAACCTAAGAGTAATAGACGCAAATCCAACTGGCTTGACGAAGAAATCAAGTGCTCAAGCTTGCCAAAGTGATTCTCTCACTCAATCCACTCTTCTTTCACTCAAGACCCTAGGGCAATCGAAGATTGGAGCAAAGGGGAGAGAAGAGGGGTGCCTTGAATTCTTGGGAGCTGTTTTGAACGAAGGTTGATGAGCAATGAATGAGTAGTCCCCGGTTAGAAGAGAGGAGAGAGCTATTTATACTCAAAGGCACATCCAACCGTTCAGATCTGAGTCGGAAGTTCTGATACAGATTGCCAGAACTTCCAGCTCAACGCAAAAACACTATTCACACAGACGGTCCACTGGGCTTGCTCGCATATCATTGGAACTCCTGGCGGTCGTCGGGACTTTTGGCTTCTGTCTGGACTCCCGACAGACATGACGAGCCAGGCGGCTAAGTCCCAAAGTGTCGGGACTTTCGACACCCGGAACTCCCGACTCCCGTTGGGACTTCCGACGGGCGAAGATGCACAAGCGGCTAAATCGTGAAGTGTCGGGACTTTCGGAGGGAGCCAGAACTCCTGACTCCCGTCGGGACTTCCTATGGGCGAAGATGCGCAGGCGGGCTGCGGCTAAGTCAACAAGTGTCAGGACTTCCGGCACCAAACGTTGGGACTTCCGACTACCAAAAGTCCACAAACTATGTCTAAGTGTCCGTGAGGTGATTTTGTGTCTCTTTTTTTATTTTATTTTTATGCTTGAGCACTTTATCTTCCTCAGATCACCTAAACTTGCATCCCTCTTTATAGTACGACTTGCCTAAACCCAAAACAAAATAAAAAGGCTTTGGAGAGCGCTTTGGGTTCGTCCGCTTTTTGCACTTGAAGAATTGAGGGATACCATTTCATCTTAGATGAACTCTTTTAAAGCTTTCAAGGGACTAAAGTTACAATATATCTCATTAAGATCTCATTAGTCTATAATTTGGATGTCAGCAATACACCAAAACCCACATAGAGGGCAAATGCACTTTCAATCTCCCATTTTTGGTAATTGATGATAACCAATTTAGGCTTTCATAAGAATGTAAGAATTTAAAGCATTTGAACCCCAAAATTTATAGAGAGCTCCCTCTTAATATATGCAATGAATTTGAATTTCAATGATGATCATCAACACATCACTTGCATATATTAAGGTAGAAACTCCTCCTAAATTTTGCAATTCGTGGGGTGCAACAAGTGTATGTGAACAAGTGAATATCCGTGAAAAAGAGAATGCAATATAGCATATTATATTCACTCAACAAGTAAAAAAGAATACGATGACCAAGATCTCAAGGTAGAACTTGAAGCAACACATGGCCATCCAAAGTAACATCCACCATTCACATGTAGAGACAAGCAATATAACTAATAGATATGTAGATGAACATTACTTGTCCTATAATCATCCATCACACACACAAATATAGTTGTCCATCACATAGTGCCACCACACGGCATAGTTCATACAAGCTAAAAGTTTTAGTCTCACAAGCCAACTAACTTATTACATAGATGGATCAAAGCCTAACACTCCCTCTTTGTCAACAAGTGCCAAAAAGGGGTAGGGCGCGTGAAAGAAACGACTACTCATCGTCGTAGTCCTCGTCATCATCACGGTCACCACCATCATCATCGTCGTCATCATCATCTTCCTCGCGGTACTCCTCATCGTCGATATCCATTTATGACTTGCCATGGGGACGGGGCTAATCAGACGACTCTCCATAGTATTCCTTGCAAGCCTCATCATAAAGCTCGAAAGGATCACGAACTTGCTCCAAGTCTAGAGGCGGTGCTGAGGGAATGTAAAGCTTCTGCTCAATGCAATGCATCCTCACTAGCATCTCTTACTCACACTCAGCACTCGCACAACAAGCTCCAAACAGATACTTCATGAAGAACTTAAACTTGCTGGGGCTTACCACCGGAGGAGGAGGAGGACTGAGGCTTCTCACTATGAGCACGGTGAGAGCATGAAGCACGCGGTGGAGAAGCACGTGAGAAGGAGCCCAAGGCACCTTTGCCTTTTCCCTTAGCGACCTCCTCGAACTCCCTCTTTGCCTGAAGCAATGTCTTGTTAGACAGCTTGAGAACTTTGTGAGGGCATATGAAGGAAAGTGAATGCCTGACACGTGCTCAATGATATGCATGATGAATGAAGCATAGGGATAGTGCTTTACCACATCCTCACTAGCCACGAAGATCTTGTCCCAAATATAACGACTGATGGAGAACTTGGTGAACTCATCTCCAAAGCAATCAAGTACAACCTGGGAATCCTCACAGAGATTAGTAGAGTCACCTATCTTGGGAAACAAGATCTGATGAAGAATGTTGTTGAGCACATAGTAGTAGGGCTTCCATCGAGACTCCTGACAGACATGACGAGCCAAAGCGTCGGGACTTCCAGCGGGAGCCAGGACTTCGAGAACCCGGAACTCCCGACTCCTGTTGGGACTTTCGACGGGCGAAGATGCGCAGGTGGCTAAGTCGTGAAGTGTCAGGACTTCTGGAGGGAGCCGGAACCTCCGATGGGCGAAGATGAGCAGGTGGGCTGCGGCTAAGTCAGCAAGCGCTGGGACTTCCGGCACCAAACGTGGAGACTTCCGACAGCCGGAACTCTCCGCTCATGCCGAAACTTCCGACTATCAAAAGTCCACAAATTATGTCCAAGTGTTCGTGAGGTGATTTTATGTCTCTCTTTTGATTTTATTTTTATGCTTGAGCACTCTATCTTTCTCATACCACCTAAACTTGCATCCCTCTTTATACTACGGCATACCTAAAAAAAAAAAAAAATAAAAAGGCTTTGGAGAGCGCTTTGGGTTCGTCCGTTTTTTGCACTTAAAGAATTGAGAGATACCATTTCATCTTAGATAAACTCTTTTAAAGCTTTTAAGGGACTAAAGCTGCAATATATCTCATTAAGATCTCATTAGTCCATAATTTGGATGTCATCAATACACCAAAACCCACATAGGGGACAAATGCACTTTCAGAAAGGATAAAGATATTATAGACGTTTCATCACTCTTTTCAACAACCCGAAGAAGCGATTTTGCCTAACTTTTCTCTAAGCAATGAAGCTAGAGCCAGAAAAACTATTACATCGAAAAGACATAGAACTATTTTGGCTGAAACTGGAGCTCGGCGCACTAACCAAAAGCTCAAAATGAATTCAGACAACAGGCAAAGCACAAAGTCACGTGCTCCAAAGCCTTTCACTGTACCTCTGTTATATTGAATTAAGGCCTTGTTTAGATCATCTCTAAATTCAAGTTTTTACTCTCTCTCCATCACATCAATTTTTGGACGCATATATGGAGTATTAAATGTAGGTAAAAAAAATAACTAATTACATAGTTTGGTTGTAAATCATGAGATTGATCTTTTGAGCCTAGTTAGTCCATGATCGGACAAAGTTTGTCAAATACAAACGAAACGTGCTACAGTGTCCAGGTTGCAAAATTTTGCCATCTAAACAAGGTCCGACTGTAACAAAATTGAGTATAGGAGTACTGTATATTTCCACTTGTTGTAGTGGGCAGCAGGCTGTAGACAGAAAAAGGCATATTTGGATCACGCGGGACGACTTGACGACGGCACGCCGTCCAAGTCCACGCTGGCTAGATCAATCGTTCAGTCACACACGCACGCCAGCCTAGCGTCCGGTGATTGGTCCACGCTGGCTAGATCAATCGTTGTCACAGTCACACACGCCAGCCTGGCGTCCAGTGGTTGGAATAGCAGCTTGTCTAGCTTTGAGCATGTGACTGAATGGAAGAACATCCAAAACGATTTGGCTTTATTATTTGTCGTTTGGTACTAGTACATCTCATATCATAGACCCTATTCGTAATGGATGGGAATGGGTCGGGTCGACCCACTCGATAGTTAGACCCGACCCAAAAATACAAGGCCTATAGGTCATAGGTGCCGGCCTTTAAATTCCAAAATTGATCAATAGAGCCGGAACCTATTGACTTAGCGCGTGTTTAGTTTCAGGAACTTAGAACAACATTTAGTAGCACGCGTTGCGTTTTATTCAGCAAATTAGTGTTCAAACATGACTAATTGAGGCTCAGCGTTCTTCTCGTTTTTACAAACTGTGCAATTATTTTTTAAATGAGATTTAATGCTAAACAAGACCCAAAACGATTTAGCTTTATGTAGCAATTTGTCGAATTTGGGATCCAACTAAACACGTGCTTAGGATGTGTTTAGTTTCATAGACATAGGGTGTTTGGTTGGATGGGTCAACCCACTTGTCATATTAATAATCTTTTTTTAATTTGTTGGTGTTCTTCATTTTTTTGAATAAGTACGATTGGTCAAAACTTGTAAGATTGTATGTGCTTGGAAGTACATTGAAGAATATCATATCTTAAAAGTGAAAATTGATAACATTAAAATCATGGTTCACTAGAAAACTTATTTAATTTGATGTTTCATAATAATGTTAATATGGTTGGATGGGTTTTTAATCTCATATCTAATAATTTTTAAAGTGTTGGTGTTCTTCATTTTTTTGAAGAGTGTTGATAGTATTCATGACTTGTAAGATTGTATGGGTCGATTTAAAGTTGGCATATGCTACCCAATGGACCATCGAGCAGGGTTCATTCAATTGGGGGGCTCGAGCCCCTATCGATATTGGAGCGGTGGAGCCCCTCAAGCCTCCATGAATTTTAGGCAAATTTTTTTGATATAGGTGAGATCGAGAAAATCGAACAGTAATCGAATAATATAAAAGGATCAGCCCCTAAAAAGAGCCATCGAGGCCATAGCACCTAGAGAAAATTGGTAGACCCATGGCCCTAAGGTTGGCATTGAGACCACGGGGCCGGGTTGGCCCATTCCCATCTTGACTATTCGTTCTACTTCAAAGATTTTAATGTCCTTCTTCCTCCTCCAACCCACAAACCAAATGCTGCTAGCTAGCAACAATGGCAGCCGCATCGAGAGCGAGCTGCGGTCCCTCCAACCTCGCCGTCCTGTGCAGCATCTATTGTCTTTGGACGCTTACCATCCATGTCCCTCGCGCTGGCTCAGTGTCCTTCAACCTCACCTTCTCCAAGCCCCAGAGCCCACACCTCTCCCAGCTGATAAACTGCACCGGCGACGCATACTTCTCTCCAAACACCCTCGAGCTGACGCGGAACCAGTATGGCCAAAACAGCACATACAGCGTCGGCCGGGCGACGTACACGCAGCCAGTGCCGCTCTGGGACGCAGCTACTGGCGAGACGGCAAGCTTCGTCACCACCTTCTCCTTCTTCATCAGGCTGGACACGGGAACATATGCCGGCGATGGGATGGCCTTCTTCCTCGCCCATTTCGGTTTCGGGTCAAGTGTCCCTACCAACAGCGACGGCGGCAGGCTAGGCCTCCTCCCGGCCTACAGCAACGGCACCGGCGACGGCACCATCGTCGCCGTCGAGTTCGACACCTATCGGAACCTGGCGAACGACGACATCAGCAGAAGCCATGTGGGCATCGACGTCAACTCCCTCAACTCCACGGCGTCCACCGACACCACCTCGCGGACCAGGAACCTCACGTCCGGTTACGAGATGGTGGCGACGGTGACGTACGAGAATGTCACCAGGTTGCTGGCCGTCCAGCTCACGATCAACGACACGTCGTACCACGTCAACACGACTGTCGATCTCAAGAGGTACCTGCCGGAGCGTGTCGCCGTTGGCTTCTCCGCGGCGACCGGCGCCGACGGTGAGCAGCACCAGGTGCTGTCATGGACATTTACATCCACTCTGCAGGAAGCACCAGCACCGGCACCGGCACCGCCTGCTCGATCAGAAGGAACACTGATAATCGCCGTGCTAGTGCCTCTGCTGTTTCTCTTGGCGTGTGCGGCAGCCGCCGCGCTAGTATGGCAGAAACGCAGGAGAAGAAGAAGGTCGTTGGGAGGAATTGGAACCAGCGACGACGACGACAACGATTACCAAGAACAAGACAACAGCAGGGTGGAGCTCGAGAGAGGGGTGGCTGCCAGCGGCCCCCGGCGGTACGCGTACCGTGACCTGGCCGCCGCCACCAACAACTTCGCCGAGGACGGCAAGCTCGGTCGCGGTGGCTTCGGGAGCGTCTACAGGGGTACCCTCACTGTCGCCGGCGAAGAGCGCCCAGTGGCCATCAAGATGTTGTCGTCGGACTCGTCGGCGCAGGGGAGGAAAGAGTTCGAGGCGGAGGTGCGGATCATCAGCCGGCTCAAGCATCGCAACCTAGTGCAGCTGCTGGGTTGGTGCGACAGCCGCCATGGCCTCCTGCTCGTCTACGAGCTGGTGGCCCAAGGCAGCCTCGACAGGCATCTCCACAGCAGCGACGGCGAGAACTTCTTGACATGGCCGGTGAGGTACCAGATCATCGTCGACCTGGGATCCGCGCTGCGGTACCTCCACCAGGAGTGGGAGCAGCAAGTTGTGCACGGCGACATCAAGCCCAGCAACATCATGCTGGACGACTCGCTCGGCGCCAAGCTCGGCGACTTCGGACTCGCCCGGCTTGGTGACCACGGCGGGCGGTGGCAGACCACCAAGGCCGTGATGGGCACCGCGGGGTACATCGACCCGGAGTTCGTCAACACGCGCCACCCGAGCACCCACGCCGACGTCTACAGCTTCGGCATCGTCCTCCTCGAGGTCGTCTCCGGCCGGTCTCCGGTGGTCTTGCTGCAAGGCGAGCCGCCCTTCGTTCTGCTGAAGTGGGTGTGGGGTCTGTATGGCCGCAACGCGATCCTTGACGCGGTGGACGAGCGGCTAAGGTCCGGCGACGAGCTCCACGACGAGTGCATGGAGAGGGTGCTCGTCGTCGGGCTGTGGTGCGCGCACCCTGACCAGAGCGAGCGGCCGTCCATCGCGCAGGCCATGCACGTCCTGCAGTCGGAGGACGCCAGGCTTCCGGCGCTCCCGCCGCAGATGTACAAGACGGCGTCGGACCTCGCCGTCACTGGACGTGCCTACGGCGCTTTGTCCGTTGAAAGCTACAGCGGTGGTGACTCCTCTACGACAACAACGACGACGACAACCACCGGCGACTCGAATGTTTCTTCAGGCTCGTCGACCACGGCCTTGCTCCGGGATTCAAAAGAGAGAGCTTGATTTCTGCATTTCTTTCTTTCTTTTTTGGGAAATGTTGACATGGAGTCTGCCGCCCACGGCCTATGTGGGAGGTGAAATGTATCATTTACTGACTGTAAAAATGTGTTTTCACTTTTAATAATTGGATTGAAGCAAACAATTTACTGTTTTGATTCTTCCTTCACACCAGTTGTCCATATCTTTTTGGCGTGAAAAGAAAGCAGTGGGAAATTATAAAAAACCTACTTGCCACTTAGTAGAGCTGTCGGTTATAAAACAAGTAGTAGAGCTGTCGGTTATATTAAAAATAAAAAAAAATAACTGGGTAGTAACCAACAACGACCAATGCATCGAGCAATGACAGAAGTATCAACTGGCAACCCAATGAAACTAAGCTAACAACACAAGAGGTTCTGCATACCCACTTGCAACTTAGTTTGCTGTATATTCTCACAACCAAAAGGTTTTTATATTACCAAATCCAAATCTCCGTGTTGGAGACTATTGGTCTTTGCCTTCGCCCTCCCCTGTTTTTGAATTTTGTCTCTAGGTTCTTTTTCTTTCAGAGATAGCGTAACCTTTTGAACAAAGAAGGCTTGGTCAATCAAGCCGAACCAAAGATTTTGTCAAGCACATTGATTTGGAGACTTTGCCAAAAACTGGAGCTGAAGATAGTCAGAACCTGGAAACAAACCGCTGTTCGGTTGACTGATTCATATCGTTGCTGGTTCGTGAAGAAGTACTGCTGGTCGGTTTGTGTGAGAGAAAAATATTGTTCCAGCTGGAAATTTACGATCGTTTACGATAAGCTACCGCCAAATGAACAGGCTGAGGGACAAAAAAAAAACTTCGAGAGGCAAACCCAGTGCTCTCCAACAATCTTGTGAGGTCAAACATGTAAATAATTAATGGACTACGGAAAACACTGATTTGTTTATTTTTAATTATTATTAATTAGAGGTTCCAAAGGAGATGCTACGTTAATCCCTATGACATATGCTAGAAAAAAAAGATAAATCTTAAAAAATTGTAATAATAATTAAAATATATATTCTTTAATTTAGAAGTCTCTAATCATCACTATCGATAAGAACAATGCTACCGCACGGACGTCCGAACGCCCGCGCACCCACGTGCTGCTGCGCCCCACGCGTGCTGCTACTGGGTTCGCGTCGCGTCGCGCCTGCTGCTGTGCCTGCATGGGAGAGCAGAGAGCATGTGCTTAGGGCCCGCTCAGCTGTATGTGTGAGAGCACAACACGCGTACCATATGAAATAAGGTGCACAACACGCTCAACATGCTGCACCGTGGATGCCACGCCTGGTGGAGGATAATTTTACTGGGCAACAAAAGTGGAGACTGAGAGAGAGAGAGAGCGTGCGCGTATTGTATGCCATAGGATAGACTGCTAAATATTTTATTCCCTTGCGATGCATCGTAGCTTATGGCCAAACTTTACTGTGGTCTAGCTTAAGGTCAGCTCCACAGTGGCTACGGTGAACCTAAGCTTTTACTGCTACACTTACGTTCTCCGAACATACGTATGAAATAAGGTGAAACATTGGCAAACATACGGTTGCAACATATGTGAATAACCACTGCAACATACGTGTAAAACAGGTGAAATATTTAAAACACACACTTGCAACATTCGTTTGTAGTCAATACAACATATGTAACTTCTAAATAAAACACATCCAGGGGAAAACAGCTGAAATATTTGGAACACACACTTGCAACATGCTTCTAAAGAAACAACTGAAATATTTGGAACATACACTTGCAACATACGTGTATATAGCCATTGCAATATGTGCAACATCCCGATCTACTTTTGCAACATCCAGATAAAACACATGCAACATCCAGATGAAACATCTGAAACACTTAAAATATATGCTTGCAACGTACACTCTCAGCGCAATATCACCTTTGTTCTTGGACAATGAAGGCTCTCGTCGTGGAGCTTGCCGGCAAGGTGGTCCCAGCGACGCATATAGCTCATCGGTGCGCCAGCAGAGTGGCGAGCATTGCGCGACCCTGGGTGAGCACCTGCTCGGCGGCCTAGGCTCGAGGCTGCAACACCCCTGGGCGAGCACCTGTTCGGCGGGCTGCGAGCACATTCAGAAGAACATACGCACCCCTGGCTAGTAGGACGGCAGGGTCGAGCACACTGTGGCTAGCACGGCGTGGGCCTACGCGTGGACCCCATGGGCAGGGCGAGCACGCACTGTGCAGGCTCGAGCAAAATAGTTGTACGCGTAGGCGCACGTGGGGCCTATGTGACTGCGTGGCAGGGGCGCGCATGCACGCGTAGCGTGGTTCCCGCGCCGTTGTTTCACGTGTGGCCAGAGGGTGCTGCTAGCCGTTGGGGAGGCCACGTGCATAGTACAGACCTTGACCCGCGTGGGCTAGTGGAAAGCCACGCCAGAGTGTGGGAAGTCGCGTCTGGTCCGTCCGAACGTCCTCTCGGTAGCATTACCGCACCAATAAATCCATTTAACAAATGTTTTCTATTTTATAAAAGCGACACATCTCTACTATCATGATGCATCAACTAACGGTATTCTTACAAGTGATCTTCAAAAATTGATTGAGGTAGGTAATTTATTTGTTGACAAAAGAATAAATTCATAATATATTGGCCAGCACATTATGCCAAATGAAGAAACCGGTAAAGGATTTACTAAAGTTAAACGATTATATCAAAATTATAGCCCTCGACGCTACATACATATTTGTAGTTGAGAAGTTTTTTATTTGAAACTATTTCAAGTTCCAAAAATGTCATTTTAAGTTCTCAGAATTTTTTTTTTAAAAATAAAATTTTCAAATAACCTTGGATGTTCCTATGGTATATAACAAAGTTGTAGTTATCAATATAATCCACAAGTTTATAGGCCACCAGCTTATACATACCTCCTTTGTATTGCTACTACGATAGCCAGAATGGGTGGGTTTCTGAAAGGATCTTTGTATGACTATTAGTGCAAACCGTCGAAGGTGGTTTTGGCAGAGCACAAAACCGACTCGAAATGTATTAAACTGCGAATATTCTGTTGAGTTCTGTTTCAAACCAATCTTTGGAGATGTTCTCTTAAAATGCCCAACATTATGTTCACATAGCATCTGTGCACCCACATACAAGAACACTTAAGTAGATCGAGGCGGAAGCAGTGGCGGAGCCAGGGGGGGGCTGGCAGGGGCCATGCCCCCCCCCAATATTTCACAACAAAAAAATTTAGTAGTATGACTTAATATTGTTTATTTATATTAAGAGGAAGATTATATAAAATTTTTGTCATATATACCTATTAATATCTTCTAGATAATATAATCATATAAAACACAACTTTGCTTGTCATAAGAAACCTAACGAGTTGAGTTGCACTTAATTTTTACATGTTGGCTCTTTTGGCTGGCCCCCCTGAGTATAATTCCTGACGGCCGGCCCCCCCTGAGCATAATTCCTGGCTCCGCCACTGGGCGGAAGTATAAGTACGAAATAGAAATGCAAATGCGAGGCAAAACGAGATGGGGACAGAATAATTTGTACTCCGAAGAACAAGTTCACTTGAACCCTATGTATCCATTGAGGCCGTGAGTGACCTCTAAAAGCTGCGTTGTACGTCTCTTGCAACTGTTTTTCTCGAATCCACTAGATGATCTTTTATCCTTGCGGGGCAATAGCCCTCACAAATTGTCATATTGATTCATCACAAGAACGGGAGCACCGGACGCCACCTAATCACCTAGACAGCTTCTCCTCCAAATGTAACAAATGTGCAACCGAGATTCTTGACTTATCGCACGTGCTCAAGGCTAGTCACTACCGGACTCCTTGAGTTTGCCGAGTGCCCGAAACACTCGGCAAAAGACAGAAAACACTCGGCAAATGGTTCGCCGAGTGTAACACCCGGCGAATAGCACTCGCCATAAACAGTGCCAGCAAAGCCAACTTTGCCGAGTGCCATTTATCGGGCACTCGGCAAACTTTTTGCCGTGTGCTGTTTGGCTCTCGGCGAAAAGAAACAGTCATAATGCCAGACCCGCCGTTAACGGCGACTTCGCCGAGTGTCAAACGGCAACGCACTCGGCAACTAATTTCTTTTTAAATATTTTTTTGGTTTTTAGAATTCCTTGTCGCCGAGTGCTGCTCTCGGTAAATCATAATAATATGCCGAGTGCCGCGCAGGCAGACACTCGGCAAACATTTTTGAAACAGTATTTGGTTGTTTAAAAAATAGCTTTTCGCCGAGTGTGATAATATCTGTACTCGGCAAATGATAAACATATGCCGAGTGTCGCGCTGGCAGACACTCGGCAAACTTTTCTAAAACAATATTTGGTTTTTTAAAAAATAGCTTTTCGCCGAGTGTCTTGGTGATAACACTCGGCAAATTGTGTTTGCTTTGCCGAGTGTCTTGGTCATAATACTCGGCAAAGCCTCAGAAATCTGATTTTTTTTTGTTTTTGCATTACATTTCACAGCGCACACAGATATATTACACAGCACATATATCACATATATATATATCATCTCCACACACCACATATCACATACATCACAATAATCCACAATGATACACAAATGTCATACCACAATACCAACATAAGGTTCGAGTTTAAAGTATCCACCATAAGTGCATTACAAGCATAAGTGCAACAAAAGGAATAAGTTCAACACATGAAAAGAAGCAAATCACCAATTAGACCACGGCGACTGCTGCGGTGGGTCATGAGGTACATCGTTTGATGCCGCCGATTGACCCTGCACAAAGAATAGACAAGATTACTTGATAGCTGCAAAAGGAATTGTTGAGACATATATAGCTAGTAGCATTGCAATTCAAAAGGCAATACAACAAATACAACTGTGTGTGTGTGCTGGTGTGCTGGTGTGGTGTGTGTGTGTGTGAGTGTGTGGTGGTGTGTGTGTGTGTGAGTGAGTGTGTGTGCTGTTGTGTGTGTGTGTGAGTGTGTGTGTGTGGTGGTGTGTGTGTGTGTGAGAGTGAGTGTGT